ATAGCGATTTTTTTTTCCGTACGAAACATTTGCATGAAACTCCACTCGGGTTGTCTCGACTGACTCGACTCGAAAATCGCAATTCTGGAGGTCAAAAGGTCATCAACCAAAGATAAACCTCTACAAAACTTCTGAGATACAGGATTGCTGCTCGCTGTCTGATTTTGAAAAAAAAAACATCTTTTAAAACGACATATGTATTATTTGATTTCGCTGCACGAATAATAAAAAGTGTTAGGCCCTATTTGAATTTGAGTTACATACTGTGAAAATTTTTATTTTTTAGTGGGCCGCGGTTTTGGATAATTGTTTAACCTATGTCATGACGAACTCGAGTCAACTCGGCCCCAATTTACTGTGTACGGTATTTATTGAATATTTACCAAGAGATTTGAATGCAAAGCCAAAATTAAAGTGTTTTTAAATCGTTGCCTTTGTTATTTCGGTTCATGTACATGCACTTACAATAATTAAAACTGCATTAATAAAAATAATATTAAAATGATATTAATAAAAATTATACAAAGGTACATAGAATAACTAATAATAATAATAACAATATAAAATTGGGGCCAAGTTGACTTGGGGTTGGTTGACATGGGGCCGAGTTGACATGGGGGCCGTGTTGACTTGGGGCCGAGATGACTGGGGCCGAGTTGACCTGCTTCCGCCTAGAATAGTACTAAAAAAAGTTAAGGCAGTGAGTTTGGATTATAGGCCTAATATAGTATACTGTAGGTGCTTCTTGATTACAAGGCTTAGGCTATGTTAATTATTGGCGAAATTATATATGGTTATTTATAATTATTATTATTGTTAATATTATTGTTATTAATATTATTGTTATTATTAATTAATATTAATTACATTATAAGGCTTAGGCCAAGTTCATTAATGCCTGAGTGATACATTTAATTTATTATATTTAATATTTTTTTACTCACTGTCCCATTTTAATTTATGTTTCCTAGTTCCACTAGGCCCATTATTTAGCCTCTTTTGCTCTAGCCTTTGATAGATGTACCCATTTACCACTGGTACTACTATAGAAGGGGGTACTAGCTGTTGTTGTTGTTGTAGTACATTTGATAACAAACATACAAAAAGCTCACAGTTAGTTACAGACGTAGCCTACATCCCATAAATCGGTAAGATTTTATAGGCCTGCCGTAGGTAAATAAAGAACAGTACAGTAAAAGTAATAGAATACTCGAGCGTCACGACATTGCGAAGTGCCTGCTCTTGTTCGTATATCAAACTCGAGTCGAATCAATCCGAGACGGCCCGAGTGGAGTTTCATACAAATGTTTCGTACGTAAAAAAAAATCGCCGGCCGATATGGGCCTAGGCCGTCGCCGATAATAAGGTATTAGTTTTAATTTTCTCTACTTCATTTTCTTTTCCTCTGGGCCTATTTTTTTTATTATATATTATATTAATATATGTATATATATATATATACACATAAATACATATATTTATTTATGTATATATTATACATATCATTAAATTCTGTTATATATATATTATGTATATATTATATATATGAAGAGTTCATACGCTCAAACTGATAAACGCCATTTCCGTCCAAAATGAATCAAGATAGCCATTTTTGAACTTATGTTGCCACGATCCTAATTATGAAATTGGTTTATCCGCAAACCCCGATAAAGTCAACGTATTTTCCACGATAGGCAAACGTTTTTTTGCAAAAGCCTATACAAGTATAAACACCGTTCCATGTTTTTGGATTGAGGCGACTAATGCTGCGTTCATTAGAACTTGTGAAAAATGATTTCAACAACTTGTAACGTGTACACAAGAAGAGTGCATTCATTTGAAGAACGCTAAATGGCTGAATGTCACTTTTTCAATGTGTTCGAAAATAAAACATACAAAAAAACTTTTTTTTAATCTGAAATAATAGTACTTAAACAAATTTCAATAAATATGTTGGGTTGCAAATAAAACATACAAACAAAACTTTTTTTTTTAATCTGAAATAATATTACTTAATAAACAAATTGCAATAAATACCTATGCTCGTTGTGCATAGTTTGTGTTACATCCGCCATTTTCTACACTACTTGTGCAAATCGAGGAAGAGAATTCTACTCAAGTTCACAACTTGTGTTTACAAGTTCACTAACGAGATGAACGCGTTTCACAAGTTGTGAACATGGGAAACACCGACTTCACTAGTTCTAATGAATGCAGCATAATACTGCTCTCTTGCACAGATAGTGCATTGTGGTCTAGTCTTCTCGCTTGGTAATGACGTAAATCTAGTTATTTCTTTGAAATAATGGATAATTTCAATGATATTGAAGAGCCTGTGTTGAATTCTCACCATTGGGACGTAAAAACAGCGGTGCCCAGGAGAACTAGGGCCTACTGTAACATACATGCCAAGTTTGAGTTTGGCTGTGGATGGAGATTTGCACAGGAACGAAACAATTTAGGCGTGGGTGGAGGGCCCGCCTAGGGCCCCGGAATTTTTTAGGCCTAGATGCTCTCTGGTGCACTCTGAGCAGATCTCTAGTGCTCAAATTAAATCTTAAAAATGGGGTAATATATACTAACATTTTTTGAAAAATAAAATTCTATAGCTTTATTTCAGTGTTAAAACTCTTAACTTTATTTATTTTTTTCAACAAAATTTTCAAAATACTCAAATAAGGGACGATACGAGCTTACAAAAGCGTCGGCTAAGCATATAAGCTTTGAACGAAGCAAATAAGCATTCCTTGCATCAGATAATTTCCCGACCATTGAACGGTGAATCATTTCAAAACAAGTGAAGACTTCGGTTTTATCAAGGTGAGGTGGACAGATTGAATGCGTTAATCCATTGGTGAGAACATTAAGTTGTTCCGCAGTCAGCTTGAATGATGAAATGTTGGTTATTGCCTGTTAGATTCTGCAGTTTTTTCTCATGTGTATTAATAATGTGTTGTACATACCGGTGAACATTTGAGAAAATTTATATCCAATTCCGCTTTCTTAGACTTGATGGATGTTTCTTCAAGCCATCTAAGATCACTAACCGTTAACTTTCCATGATATGTGTCCGCAAAATTGTGGATAATGTTGCCTAATGATCTGTGTAGTAGCAGACAGCAAATGCATCTTAAGAATACCACAATAATTTTCAATTTTAATACCATATAGGCAAAGCCTAATGAATTTTATTATAAATAGGGGCCTAGCTGGTATCGCTGATACTTACTGGTGTTTATTTCATGATTAGTCAGTTCTATATATTGATGTTAGCTTTCAAATAAAGGTATTATTGTCTAGAAATCCTGGCACACTTGTTGAGGGTCTTAATTTTTGGGGTCTGATATTTCAAGTGGGTCTGATATCTCATAATCTTAGGTCTAGGTCTTAGCTTTCGTAGGTCTGATCAAAGAGTATAAATAGAACAAGAGAGCAAAGTCCCGTTTGTAAAAACGTCATGCCTGTGTAGGACGCCCACTAACGGTTGTATATTCTTTTTACTACCCAGTGCAGCGCTGCGCAGCGCGGTAGAAGTACGCCAGCTATAAACTCAGTAAGCAGAAAACAAAAGTACAGTGTCTTGTGGAGAACAGATAAACAGACAAACCTACCGTGCGCGGTTGGAGTACTGGGTAATAAAACACATACAAGCGTTAGTTGGCGTCCTACACTAGCTGCGTATGGGCGTATCGTTTTTTTAAGCTCTCAATGAGCGTTGTTGGCTCTCTTGTTCTATTTATACTCTTTGGTCTGATCTTTCAGGACCCCCGACAAATGCCCCCAATTGTTAGCACCACCACTGTAATTGTCAAGCTCGGGTGACAGACGATCGGGTCCATGCCAAGACGATCGTATATACCGAGTGTGGACTTTCGGGCCGTTTCATTCTGATTTACTATTGCGTTCCAAATTTATTATATATTGGCTTAAGCGTCGTAGGCCTATGTATTTTAATACCTAGGCCTATGTTATTGTTAAATATGTTATTAAATAAAGGAAGTGGATATATTTAACTGACTGTAATAAGTAATTAAAGTGTAACAATGATGATATTGCAAAGACTGGTAGTGCAGTAAGGCCTGGGCTATGTGGCATGCCTACGGTTAACTCCTCTGGCTTGAACTCAAAATTCAGGAGACTAGAGGGAGGTGTGATAGTGAAGTGCGCCTCCACCAAAGAAATTTTAGTTTGGTTTTTTTTTTTCATATGTGCACTCTGATCTGTTGAGGCGTTAGTAACACTTGAAAAGCCCTTTGTACACCGACGGCATCGTTAATATTGTAAAGTCAAAAATATATAGAGCTTTCGTAATCTTGTTCAGGAACCAATTCACAGAGAAAATTTCTCATTCCTGTTCACATATTAGTACAAAAAATAGTGACCTTTCGTTTCTTTTTTCGCGTTCTGAGACCTCTCGGTGGGTGCACAGCCTGTTGCTACGGCCGTTCCATCTGCTTTTGGACCGCATGGTGGCACGATGACAGCTCATCTATTAATGGTATGGTATGTCTAGGGCCTAGCCTATGACAAAATACATTGATTATGTGAAATTCGTAATCAGTATTAATGTAACCACTGATGATTTAATCAAGGTAGTACTAAAAATCATTTAATATAGAAAATTATCAAATTCTATTGAACTGTTGCAAATGTATTCAGTTTCTAGTCCTCAATTCATTGCTTGGGATACAGCTCGGGATACAGCGGCTGAACTTTGTGTTATGAGTATGTGTGTGTAAAATTACAGTAGAGACCAAAACGCACACAAAAATATCCAGTGAATATCTTGGTGAATAGGTTCTCAAACTTGATACAGAAATACTCTATTATTTGTACAAAAAAATTATTATTTTTGGTATTTTGCTGTCCTTTTCTGAAAAAGTATAGGAAACTGCCCACTGTTAACATGAGAAATAAATCCGACAGTTCCGTTAGGAAAACAGAGCTGGAGAACAATGCAAATAAAATGCCCTTTCATGCATCCTTTACTTCTTTTTTAGGTTCATCCAGATACATTTTCTAGAATGGCATCTAAATGTGTTTCTAAAGAAGTCATTGCTGGTATTGAGGCTGCAGCACTCGAATGCCCTTTATGTATGGACCGTTTTACAGACCCAAAGTTACTCCCATGCGTCCATTCATTTTGTCTTCTGTGCCTTGAGAAATGGACAAAAGAACGCAATGGAATACTTAGCTGTCCAACCTGTCGTGAAATCTTTCAAATTCCAACAGATGGTCTTAAAAAACTGCCGAACAACATTTTTATCATTGGATTGTTAGAATATGTGACTATACTCGAACAGAAATCAGCACTCACTTGTGCTTGTAAGAAGGAAGCATGCTACTTCTGTCGAAACTGCGATGAATTGTACTGCACAGAATGCAAAGATGCTCATGGAAAAATAAAAATTACCAGAGACCATACTATGCTGACATTGGAAGAGTACAAATCCTTCAATCCAGTTACGGAATTTGCATCAAAGCCTTTGAACTGCCCTAAACATACAATGCCATTTCAGTTCTTTTGTGACACATGCAAGAAACCTGTTTGTGTTGGATGTACACTTGTTGAACATCGTATAAACGACAACCATAACATCATCGATACAAAAGATGCTTTCAAAACCTTTTCAACTCTTGCTTCTCAACTTGTTTCAACGTCGGATGGAAAAATACTCAATATTCGTGCTGTGATTAATGAACTCACAAAGACAAAATCTGTTTTGAATGCAATTTTCTCAAAATATAAAACGGATATAATAAGACAAGCGGATGAGCTACACCAATTGATTGATCGCCATAAAGAAGACCAACTGCAGAATCTTGAAGAATCTCATAAACAAAAGCTGAAGTCACTTGAAACTAAAATCAGTGATATGGAATTGGCCATCTGTAAATTATCTAGTATGCATGGAATTACGCACAACATGTTAAATTGTCCCAACCAAGTTATGGCATTGATGTCAAGTTCTGCAGCTACAAGAAGACTGCAAAAACTGGTGAAGGGTGAATACAGAATGGAATCTCAAGATGTAGATGTCTTGAAGCATAATCCTAATAGCAGATTATCCCAATTACTGAAGCAGCTACGTAGACCAGAATCTCAAATTTCACCTAACAAATCAACATTTAGCGAGCTACAGTATGAACCGCAGGGTGAACCTTGCGGTGTACCGAAGGTTCAACCACAGGTTCAACCATTTTTTGGTTTACAATTTAATCCTTCTTTTAATGTACCAGTATTTACCAGTAGAAAAAAAATTATAACAACTCGAAATGCATTTGGTGATACTGTGTATAATATGGATGTAAAAGTGAAATGTTTACATTTATCAATAAACAGAAAAACGTGTAGTTCTCAACATAAAAAATGTGAATGCGAGAAAAAGGTCAAAATGGTTAGTGTTGCTGACAAACAAAATGGAGTTTATGAGATTTCTAGTGACATTTCTTTTGAGAGTTGTACATTATTATGTCTGATGATTGATAGATCTGATGCATTTGTAAATATGGTAGAGTTTGATAGACATGGAAGACTGTCAAAATTCAGAAATAACTTTCAACCATTGTAGTTGTGATTATGACATACTTCACACAATTTATAAGATGTTGCGACAATCATTTAGTCATAAGCGTCTTCTTATACATTACAGGTGTATATGATTTTTTAGTACAGGTAGCTAGTTTTATTTTTTTTTAAATGATTGTACTGTACAGGTATTATATTTTATGGAAATAGGCCCTTTATTGTATACAGGACATATTTTGTTAATACAGAATACTGTATGGCCATGCATTTTATGTTTTAATTATTCAAACAGATTGGTGGTGTTACAGATCTGATATCATGCTTGAATAAATCTTAAATATTTAGGAATAACTAATGCTAGATCAATACAATAATTTAGTATTTGAAAGCTATTTTTTTTTTTGGGGGGAGGGAAATAAGGGTGGCACAGCAGAAGTTGCACTAGCAGAATGAAGTAGTGCTGCGTATACACACTAATAGGAAAAAAGTAATATTTTCATATTTTATCAAAGTAGTTTACAAATATGGACTGTTTATTTAAAGGTAAAACCATAATGAATTACAAACGTTGGTGAGCTTAAAGCACATGGCCGTTGCCCATAATATGGGCAACGGCCATGTGCTTTAAGCTCGCCAAATTTTGTGATACAGTACAGTAATATTATTCTGTAATGTTTAAATTTTTAAAACTTGTTAGTTTAGTATGTTAAGTCATTAGTTGGAGGTGCCAGCCTTATTTGGCAACAGTCATGTAATGAAGAATCATGTAATGAAGAATCTGCTTCGGTGGTTTTTTATTAATCTTTTTGAACCTTTCTACTTTTTCGTTTTGTTTTTTCTTTTTTGTTTTTAATTTGGCTTGAAATTTCTTTTGATGCTGCCTTCAGCCTTCTTGGTTTTTCCTCTTAAGGACCCCAATGGAAATAAGACCTTTTTAGGACTTTTTTGGGCTGTCCTTGCATCACCTTTGAATTAATTCCTCCATCAATCTTCTTGGACTTTGTACTGGCCTTTTGCTTGTTTTCTTGGTTAACTTTTTCTAATGAATTTTATGCTTTTTACATTGTGTATTGTTATTTATATGAGATGTGAATAAATCAAATCAAAATCAAATCAAACAGTCTTCCTATTTTCTGATACAGCACTGTCTAATACTAGTACTATTGCTCTTTGTATTTTTGCTTCAATAAAAGTAATGCTGACTTCTAATTATTATTCCATACCGGAAAGCTTGCTGTAATACTGATATGCTGTCCTACAGTATGTCTTGAAACCAACAACATATTGATATTCAGTCTATTCATTTAGATGTAATTTCTGTAATTTCTACTTCACTTTACCCAGACCAAGGGTAGTATACAGTAGCTGAAAGAGGTTTTAGCTGCTGTAGGGGCCTCAGGTCTTTTCGTTACGCCCCTGGTGAACATGATATTTGAATGGATTTTTATAAGCAAGGTTTTAAATTTTATCGATCATTCAATTTCTTCACTTGGAGATAAGTTGATCTGATTTTGATTCTGCTTAAACAGCTTTTTATTATAAGTACAGTATATGTTTTAAATAATGTTATGTTAATATAACCTAGTTTGATAGTTGAGTTCTTGATTTGATTAAATGTTATGTGACAATCCACAACCGTAATCTTCCTTTTGTTGATCTACTTCCTTATGCTTCCTTATAATTTTTAGTCATCAAGTTGAGTTATGAATAATATACATTTTTTTGTTTATGTTCATTATTTTTATTCTTATCTTTATTCAGTAAACTATATAACAAAAATATATATATCTTAACAAAAAAATATTTTGCGACAAGAAATTGAATTTTCGAAATGCATTGTGGGAGAATCATCTGGTATCGGATAAAAGTATTAGGGATACATAGGCCTATTCCTAATATGAATGATGATAATAATAAGAAGTGTTCGATGTAGAATAGGCCTGTATGAAACGTGTAGGCTGCAGGCACCTTGACCTCTGGGGCAGCTCTGGATTCAAATTTAGGAGGGGGTGCAAATGTTCCTAACACCCCCTTTTCCCCACAAAAAATGTAGAGTCATGGTGTCCTCCCCTGGAAATTCTGATTCCTATAAGGTGGGAAATGAGCTTTTCTGATATTTGAAGTGACTTTAATTAATTTTATCAATCAAATTTATTGGAACATACGCTTTCAGTACAGCGACACTCGTCCATACGATGGGGCGTCAAAAGTTCTTCAAAATTCATTAAAATTTCATCGTGAAAACGGTCAGGTAATTCTTTTCTCATTCTTATGAATAGGCCTATTTGTATATACCTGTACATAAAAAAAAAAATGAGTAGCTGCATACCAGCAGCGTAGCTAGGTGCGATAGGACCCCAGTGCAAGATTATTTGTCGGGACCATTGATGTAATAAGGAAATTCAATAAAGTTCTCAGAAAATTCATCGTAAGAAGTACTTCTTTTACACCTCCACTCCCAAAGGCTAGTAATAAATATTAATTATAATTGCATTCGTAACTATTTTAAGACCGGGGCATATTCGGTCTCAGCAGCAGTTCAAAAACTGATCAAGAAAATGAGTGATGGGTGAAGACCACCTCAGCCACACCATGGTTCGGACTGAGGTAAGAAAATTTATTATTGTAGCACTCTCAGACTTCAATTTGAATGTTGCTTTTTTGAAAAGGATGTCTGGCCGACTGGCTCCCATTTTGAATACACCACTGAACTGAAATTAGCAAAGTAATCAATATTTACTCCTTTAAGAACCGAATATTAATGAGGGGCATGCTGGCAGTTTTTTTTTTTTTTTTTTTTTTTCAAAATTAAGGAAATTATTATATTTGGCGTATTTGTGAATGGGCCCCTAAACGTCCTGGGCCCCTAAACGTCCTGAGCCCCTGTGTTTTGCACTGGCTGCAATGTCCGTAGCTACGCTACTGCCGCATACGTTTCCATGAATCGATGAACCCCAAAGCGAACGAGCCGGGATTGGGAAATTTTGATTCCTAGAAGGCGGGAAATGAGCTCGCCGGAATTCTGTGGTGTCTTCCCCTCTCGAAAACGATTCAATTTGTCGTTGAACTCCAAAAGAATAAATGGAGTCCTCTTCCGGGAAAATTATGATTCATAGATTGCGAGAAATGAGCTCTCTATCTTCTGAAGTGTCTTTTAATGACTGTAAGGTTCTTAAAAATTCAAGGTTTACCTTTTAAAAACGGGTCAGGTAAATTTTTCTTATTTCTATTACGGTACACTAAATATACCTATTATGTGTGTATAAACACTTAAAAAATGAGTAGTTGCAATTAAGTATTCTTTTTTCAATGAATCGATAAACCCTAAAAAGGAAGGAGGTCAGGGTTCCTCTCCAATAAAATTTTGATTCATAAGTGACTGGAAATAAGCTTTCCCGACCTTCTAATTTTCCCATTGTAAAAAAAAAAAAAAATAAATAAATAAACTGCACCCGGGCCTTGAAAAGGTAGGTATAGAATTGGTTTTGTTTTGTTTTTTTGTGTGTTTTTGTTGGTTTTTGGGGGCCCAAGAGGGGGATCCGCCAATGCCTCTAACGATTAGTGGCAACAAATTTTCACAAAAACGTGATGCATTAATGACGAAATGATGATTATTAGGTATTTTCGGTTAATATTTCAGTCACTCAAAATTCTTTTCCTATTCTTTCTTTCTGTGCTTCTTCCATATTTTTGTTAAATTTAATTTATTTTACTAAATACATATACTGCATAGTATTTATATATGCTTACCAAAAGTACAGAAATAAAGAAATTTTACATTCCTTTTTGGAGAGGGTGCTGTGAAAATCGTCGCCCATGAGTGACGTTTGATCTTTTACTTCCGTTACAGTTTTCCAATGCAAAATTTTCGAAGAGCGCGTTTGTACATGTGGTTCTTTGTTACAAGTGTAAACTACAAAAACCCTATTGTAAAATTTTAAATGTTAATATTAAATATATTTTTTCAACTTCTATACCAATTTTACCTTTTCAATGTATAATAGAAATTTCTAATGGCTGAAGGGATGAACGAGTTTAGGATATAATGTTTTTACTTTTTTTAAAAATTTTGTTAATGTACTGTACAGTATATGCATACATCATCATCATTAGTGTTCTGCCGAAGGCATGTCCTTAGTGACATTCTCCAGTACTCGCGGTTCTCTGCATCCATTTTCATCTGGTGGGATGCATTCCACGCACATACCTCAAATACCAAGACAAAACATCTACTGACCGCACAACTCTTGTTACTAGGCCTACCACCCAGCACCCAAACACCTAATCGCATAATAAACACCGTACATTGTCTGCTTCAAGATTCTGATTGGAAGGACCTATTTACTGTCAAACCACTCATTGCACACAGGATGTTAAATATAAGAATTCAATTCTTTATCAACTAACTCCGTTTTATAGTAATAAGCAATAACTATTCTTGTACCAAAGCCCGGCGATTGCAGTCCCTAATCTTTGTCTTAGTGAATAATATTAAAAACCATTGGCGTTCCATATTACTTCTTTGCACCAATGGCATTCCATACTATACTTTTTCTGGCCAACAATCCAAATACTTTACAATATAAAAAAAGTTTATTGATCTAAACAGACGTTAGTGGCGCTCTGGGAAAGTTTTTTTAAACTAGAAAGTGATTATCGATAATATAGTATTAGTTTTTATTCAGAATCACTTATGTTACAGTGGTACACGATCACATTGTAGTGCATCCAAATACTGTAAATTAAAAAACAAAAGATACATGAAAAACAACTTAACTATGGCAAATTAGGCTACTTTTTTTAAGCAACAAAAAAAAAAAAAAAAAACCTCAGAACTACAGTGCCAATAAATTAAACTAGGCCTACTAAAAAGAAAATCAGTAAGAAACGTCTGACAATTCGTATTCGTAAAAGTAACGGTGGTAATTTAAACACTTAATATACTTAAAAGTAGGCCTATCTGATCTTGTATTCCAAGCAAAATTAGATGGGCCTCATTTATTTTTGCAAATTGTCAAAAATACAGTCGAGTTCGCATAAGTCGAATCTAATGGGACTGGCATAAAAAGTTCGAGTTATACAGATTTCGACTTGCACATTTTCGAAAAAAAAAATATTAACATAGAACAATACTATGTGTACTCAATGCCCACAAAATCGAATCTCACGCAAAACCGAACATTTTCTTAAGTCCCAAACTCATTCCTATTCTCCTTTTAATAAAATACTTTTCGAAAACATGAACTCCCTATTCCAAATCTCGGACGATTTGTCCAATTCAGGACGGTAACACTCCTCGAAAAACCAGACGATAGTTTAATCATGGAGGAAATTTCCTCCATGGTTTAATAGACATCGTTTAACGACAAGAAAAGGGTTGAAAGTTGAGAAACTTGTAGTCTACCTTACTCTTTTCCTTGCTTATTTGCATTATGTAGAGTGGGAGGTGGGCGGAGTTAATGTACTGACCCTCACTGATAACTCCATCCTCGAACCAAACTGGCACAGCCAGACTTTGGACAGGCGGAGATACTTGTTTACACTCGATCGGCAAAGGTAAGTGTTGGAACATTTGTTTAGCTTATTTTTATTTCTTTTTTCGAAAATTAGACTTGTATAAACACTGTACAGTAATAATTTATTGGAAGTTCCAATTAATTTCGGAAACAGTAACAAACACATTGAGTAATGACATTACTACAGGGCCGATGCGCGTATACATAGGCCAACCACGGCGGAACGTTTTTGAAAGTTGGGGGGTGGGGGGGAGCTGGGCTCCTCCATGAATCTGCCACTGTTCAATATAACACTTGACTAAGCCTATTATTTTGTTTGACAAATGATTTATTCCTGATGTCAGGCGAAAGATTTTTTTATTCGAAAGATTTTTTTTAATACAAAATTTACAACCAATAATACATTAACTGCAGTGTACTGTAAATTCTGTAAACTTTCAGAGAAATTTATTTTAATAAATGACCTAATTAAGTGTCTTAATGTTTTAAATCAGATGAAATTTAAATGTGGTTACATTACGCTAGTTTGAAGGTTTACTGTAAGCCAATCAGTTACACTTAATCTTCATGGTTAACATAAAGAGAACATCCGGTTGCTCAACTCAAAAAGGAAACTTGTAATGTACGTTTGAAAATGAAAAAAAAATCTATGTTTAATAATTATAGGTCGATCTATAAGTCGCAAACAAACAAGGTCTCTAAGCACCAAATAATAATGACAATAATCATAATGACATTGCGGCGTTCATAAAATGCTTGATTGTCTCTGGTACTGGGAACATTCACAAAAGTCGGGGGACCAGGCCCAAGTAGAAAGAAGGGAGGGGCCAATGGCTCCCTTCCACCTGCCGTTGATATTGATTATGATAGGCAGTGGCTAGGCATGATATCGAAGGTTCTTTTCTTGAGAAGGAATTATTCGTGTATAAGAACTGTCCGCTCGAACTGGTATCAGTTCCACTTAACATCCATTTGGTCCACTTGAACTTTAAACAGTGGGGAAGTTTGCGGTTAGCCCAACCTGATACATAGGTAAAGTGCTCAAATTTGTTTTTTATTGAAAAAGTAGACTTTCCAACAACTGTATAAATTTTTTGGCACTTTCATTGAATTTGGAAATTGCAACCAATAACACATTAAGCATTTATATGCCTAAAATTTAATTGAATTTTTAAAACTTCTCAATGGACGTTTGTTTTTATTTGTATGTTTATATGTCATTATATTATTGTAAAATACCATCACAATTCAGCATTGCTGCCATGATGTACAATGCACGCTCCAATTCAAAACCTTTCTAATTTAAGACCACTTTTCAAAGAACAAAATAACAAACAATATGTTACAACAAAGCTAAAGCACTAAGTGGAGACCGAACCCCAAGACTACCCCAAATTTTCGGATCCAAAAGTACTCTCGAATATTATAAAACGAACTGTATTTTATTTGGAATTGAATAGCACCGGTTTATCTAATATTTGGCGTATTGTAAGAACGGTAAAGCTTTGGAGTTGGAGAACAGCACAAATAATTTAGCCTTTCATACATCGTTAACTTCTTTTTTAGGTTCATCCAGATATTTAAAACATATATCATGGCATCTAAATGTGTTTCTAAAGAAGTCATTGCTGGTATTGAGGCTGCGGCACTTGAATGTCCTTTATGTATGGAACGTTTTGCTGACCCGAAGTCACTCCCATGTATCCATTCATTTTGTCTTCTGTGCCTTGAGAAATGGACAAAAGAACGCCAAGGAAGACTCAGCTGTCCAATCTGTCGTGAAGGGTGTCAGATTCCAACAGGTGGTCTTAAAAAACTACCGAACAACATTTTTATCAACGGCTTGTTAGAATACGTGAATGCATTGGAACAGAAATCGGAACCCACCTGTGCTTGTGAGAAGAAAGCACGTTACTTTTGTCGAGACTGTGATCAATTGTACTGCAGAGAATGCAAGAATGCTCACAGAAAAATAAAAACCACCAAAAACCATACCATGATGACATTAAAAGAGTACACATCCATTGATCCAGTTAAAGAATTTGCATTAAAGCCTTTAAACTGCCCCACACATACAATGCCATTTCAGTTCTTCTGTGACACGTGCAAAAAACCTGTTTGTGTCGGATGTACACTAGTTGAACATCCTACCAGCGGCCACAACATTATTGGTACAAAAGATGCATATAAAACTTTTTCAAGTCTTGCTTCTCAACTTGTTACAAAATCATGTGAAACAATACTCAATTTTCATGCTATGAATGATGAACTTAAAAAGACAAAGTATGTTTTAAGATCAAATTTCTCGAAATGTAAAACAAATATCACAAGACAAGCGGATGAGCTACACCGACTGATTGATCGCCATAAGGAAGACCAACTACAGAGTCTTAAGAAATCTTATAGACAAAAGCTGAGGTCACTTGAAACTAAAATCAGCGATGTCGAATTGGCCATCAGTAAATTATCCAGTATGCGTGGAATCACACACAACTTGTTAAATTGTCCTAACCAAGTTATGGCACTGATGTCAAGTTCTGAAACTACAGGAAGTCTGCAGAAACTGGTGGAGAGTGACGAAAGAACCGGACCTCAAGATGTAGGTGTCTTAAAGTATCCAAATAGTAGATTATCTCCATTACTGGAAAGCAATGTTGTGAAGCAGCTACGTGAAACAGAATCTCAAATTTCACCTATCAAATCAACAGTTGATGTACCACATCTACAACAATTACAGTTGTTTCCAGGAATATTTGGGGCGAAAAGTATTACTATAAAAACTGCAAATGCACAAGGTAAATATGTGTATATCTTAGATGCTAAGGTAAAGTGTTTAGCAATAAACAATATGACATTTGTTAAACAAAGCGTAGGTGCTGATAGACACTTAAAGAAAAGGAGTAAAATTGAAATGATTGGTGTTAACATCAAAGAAAATGGGGTTTATGAGATTCTTACTACTCGCAGTTCTTTGAAGAGTTGTACATTGTTATGTCTAATTATTGACAGATCCAATGCATTTATCAGTACAGTAGCGTTTGATGAATTTGGAAACGTATCTATGTGCGAGAATCACTTTCAACCATTTTAGTCAGGAGAATTACATTCAATTTAAACTTGTCTTCACAACAAAAACTTAACGTGCACACTTATATTAAAGGAGAACTTCTGATGGATAAAGCTACCTTAATAATAATAATAATAATAATAATAATAATAATAATAATAATAATAATAATAATAATACCTTAAGGACTCCAAAAGTCGGAGTTTTGGCCTATAACAGGAGATGTGGGCACATGATGCGTTACAGAAAGAAATTTGATTTTATGCGAGTTGCTACAATTTTGTTGTGTTTCTGGCTGTCCACGATTTGTAAGTAGATTTGGCATAATTTAAATTTACAATATTGATGTTCTTTTTACATAAATAAAAGGAGCTTAGGCATACAGTAGAACCCCTCCTTAGGGACACCCATCTTCAGGGGACACTCCTATTAAGTGGACACTTTTGTAAAACTAGGGGAAATATATCTTTTAACACTATGGCCAACCCATTTAAGGGGACAGACTATTAATGGGACGGGGAAATTTTCTGATGTGCCAAATGGTCAAATCAATATAGGCCTTTTTAATCCTGATTAATTGGACATTTGTTGTTTTATTGTATTAAAATAACAGTAGTCTAAAAAATAAGAAAAATTAATTAAAATATATATTTTGGCACCTTTTGAGCAATAAAATTAGCATCAAATTAGATTTTTTCCTCTTAATTAAGAATGAACATTAGTAAATGGCTTAATGTACCGTATGTGTTACTGTACTTCGTATAAATATAATCTTAAGCCATGGGGATTTCTTATGTAGTGTATTTTTTTTAAGGATTCTAATCTATACTGTACCGTACAATCTTCACCTTGATTTTTAAATAGTTACTCTATTTTTCTCTATTGTGCATCCAATTAAATATAATAATAATAATAATAATAATAATAATAATAATAATAATAATAATAATAATAATAATAATAATGATGATGATGATGATAATGATAATATTATATAGTGCATGTTGTAGAGACCTCGATTCTCTTAGCATTATTACCCCCGGTCACTGGATCAAGCACATATGGAACACATGGGAAAATTCCATAATGTTGCAGCTGTAATCAGCAACCGTAGATAAAGTGTCTTGCCCAAGGACATGGGCGAATTGCACAGCGAGAATTTCGAACCCCTGACCTCAAGGTTGGGATTCCAAGCCGAGGCACCAACCGCTTCTACTATAATATTTGGTCATTAACCATTTAATCACTTTTAAATTAAATTTTTTTTTTAAGTTTTGTCATTGTAAATTATTTTTCTAAATTATTTATTATTCAACTGTAACCAATTCATAGGCTAATTCAAATTAATGATTGGAAGACAATCAATCATCTTAACCACCAACTCAAATCCCCTCCAAACACTGTCCTTATGTCGTACAACATGGTTATTATTGGTGTATTCATTTTGATGATGTCTGTGCTTAGGCTTCTTACTGTCTGATGTTGATACGGTGTACTAGATATAATTTGATTTAAGTAACAGAAATATTTAATGATTTTAAAATATTACGTATACATCATGAGAATGTATTTGTATATACAGTAGAATGAAAAGGTTTAATGTTAGCTCTCATCTTATTCATGTTTCTATTGTGTTTTCTGTTGTTTAGTCAATCCTTTCTTATTGTTTGCTTTCCTCATATCACCGTAGATAGTAAGCATCTATTACAGAGAATTGTAAATAAGACTAGCAGAGTGATCAATACCGATGTGAGATTCCTCGAAGATAGTTTTAATAATTTAAGAATTAAATTATGCAAGACTCATCCATTGTATTTAGAGTAGATCAGGCATAGTTAGATTTAAACAAAAAAATATCCACAAACCGTTTCAGTAAGCATTGTACATAGCTTGTAATTTATTTAATCAAAATAGATAATTAAACTGTATTAAGAATTTTTTTTTTTCACACCATCACATGTATGATTCCATTATGGTACCGTACAACAAATATTTTAGAATGTATAAATTTACAAAATTTATTCGTTCTTATGGGTCAAATCAACCAAATTTTGGGATTCTCCGCGCACTTTTGTCTCAGATTCACTTTAAATTAAAAATAAAATCTCCAAACATTCATATGAACAATATGAAGTTTGTACTTCGTAGGTCCAAATCTTTCCGAGATATGGACACGTTAATGAAGGCGTTACTCGCTCAAAATTTAACCAAACAAATGCGATCTCCAATTTTTGTACCGTTTGGTGAGGAGTCAATATCTCAGGAAATAATGTACTTACAACCTGCATTTTTTTTTTGTGCTTACTAAGCAGGCACTAGTTATGAAATTATGAGTAGAGGCCTATAGTAGTGTTCCTAAAATGTGAGACGCACCTCAAATGCAGTCCACTTTTATGAGCGACCATGTTTGAGACCCAGAAATATGTACTTGCTTTGATCACAACCCTTCAATTTTTTACTTTATTAAGTCCATCTGTGATTTGAGTGGAACGATCATTGTGTACAAATTTCTGTGCATTAATAGCAAACATGTTAAGTGGTTTACCATAATGCAATAATTTACTTTAATTACAAATGGTAATGGTAACTGTGAAGTTATTGTGAATGATTTATGTTGTTAACAGTTACCTAACAGCAATAGATGTCTCACTGGCTAAACCCAGGGCTCAGACCTTGGTGTTCCGGGATATTCATCAACATCACTCTAATCGTGATTTCACAATGATACAGTGCATGACAAACGTTACGTAACGACTACTAAATCGGAGTCACTTAGCTCAGTCGTACATGTAGCATTGACACTGGGTGTTTTTAGCATTATTTTAAAGTAATAACCTATCAGATATTCATATGAACAACTAAACGAATGAAAATATATGTCTATTAACTATTGTTTTCATTAACAGTGGCGTATCTAGGAGATAAGAAAGGGGGAGTGGGGTGTGGTCAGGGCCAGCCACGAGAATCGAAGTGGTCAGGACTAGGATGCGAGCGAAGCGAAAACTGAGGCTGGCGGCCAGTGGGCCCCGGGGGCTTCAGGTGGGATTCAGGGGACGGAGGCCCCTGGATAAATTGGCTTATTTTCCATTTTATAGGCCCCTACACCAATTTTAATGTTTTTTAGTAGAAATATATAGTTTAAAATTATTTTTTATATAAAAATACAGGGGCGGATTTAGAGGGAGCGGGTGGCGGCCTGGCCCCGGCCCCCCCCCCCCCCCCCGGCTTTGGGAGGTAAAGAAGAGAAAAAACAAAAGAAAGAAAAAGAAAATAATGATAGCCCATGAACGCCGTGGTGACGCCGGTAGGGTCAATTTACGTCGGAAGGTATCAAGATGATAAACAGTTTCATTGGACTAAATTCTTGCTTATGGTAACCACGTTAAAAATCACTTAAAATCACCTTATTTTGCGAATTAGCGCCACTGACTTACATGGCAATGAATGAAAATACTCAATCGATGTGCCACTAAATCGTAACCAGCCTTCACCATGCCCTCACGATGTCACGCTACCAATAAACAATCAACAAACTACCGGGTTTCTGGGTTGATTTGCAAGGTATTACATGGCTCAACTATTTTTTACTTAGGGGTTAATTGGTAAAAATTTCACACAAATCATACGACGTTACTGACAACGTCGGGGACGACAGCTCCATTTTGGGATTAATTTTCCGAATAAAGTTATACTAAATAACTTCTAATGACAAATTACTGTCTTAGTTGTCTTTGTTGTTCATTCAACTGTCATTCTATCTATTTTTTCGGTAATATTACCATTCTCAATAATCTATAACACCGACACCCACATAACAACGTCACGTTAGATCGATCGATGTGGACGCCGTGGTGACGCCGGTAGGGTCAATTTTCGTCAGAAGGTATCAAGATGATAAACAGTTTCATTGGACTAAACGCCTCAAATGTTATTTTCGAGCGTCTAGAACACAAAATGTTCGCAGGGGATGCCCCCGGACCCTCTAGGACAGTGTTAACACTGTCTCGATCGGCCCAACTTTCGGCCCCACTTTTTGACATCTCTGGATCCGCCCCTAAAATAGGTTTTAAACTAATAACAGGGCTATGATGAATATGAATTATTCATTTCTTATATTTTACACAGACACATAAATAAATGCCTGACTGATATTTTATGGGTTTCATATTACACTAAAATGTGTTTTCCAGCGACTCTTTTCTCTTCTCATGACCCCGTCTCCCATGGCAACCCATCTGTATTATTCAGGGTAAACTCTACAGGGATCCGCGCTTTTGACATGTATTTAAGAGAAGTGCTTAATAAAATGTATATTTACGGTATATATATTTATAGAAAATAATGTTGCATACTAGAACTATCAGGAATAAATATACAGATAAAGGCATGGTATTTTTCTTGTCAGTTGACTAGGTAATTTAGTGAAGAAAATGAATGCAATTGAAGTCCTAGGCAAGTGTATAAGGAAACATTAACTTCTAAAGAATAGAGAAAGAACTGAAAATAATATTCAAATCCTGAGAGTGCCATTTCCGGCCATGTAGAGGCGACGTAATATTAATTTTCTTACCTCAGCCCCAACCATGGTGAGGCTGAGTTGTCTATCTGTGACAGTGATGGCGCCAGGACCTGCCCGACGAGGGTGGTAAAGGCCCCGACTGGGGGAGGGGCTAGTGGAGCGAATCGAGTCTCACTTAGCTGGGGCTAGGGGGCCACCTAGGACCCTCGGTGGGGGTCCAGGTGAATCCCCCTGGAAGCCACGGATATTTTTGACGAATTATGGCGAATTTTTATTTCTTATTTGACAGGCATCGAGCTACTACATTATGACTTCATGTAGAATGTTTTCTAATGTCGAAATCAGCTTCCAAAACCAAAATATTTTGAATAAAACAAGAAACAAAAAGTACCGGTATGCAATGTAACCATCTAATTTATTTTCAAATCCTCGTTCTTGAAAGTGAAATTCTACATTTTGGAAATTCTGCATGAAATTTGTTGTCAAGGTCGAGGTTGCTTCCCCT